AGCTTATGGCTACTGTGAATCACCACACTCAAGGACAAACATAGATAAAGCGTCTCAGCTGACAGGTATAGTGCGTGGACCCGACAGAAGACCACACTTTTCTCGGGCCATTATCTCCGTAACCGTTCAACTTTGGACATAGGTGTTTTGGGTTATATCGGCATACTTTAACATAAGGAACACCCTCCCGAAGTTCGGCACATTCCTCCTGGGACACTCTGTATCTTCGTGGCGCGATAATTATTTAAGCCCAGGGAGAAGTTTACCTTACAGTATAGATCAGCGTGATAGTATACTTAACGACACTGATTGTGAAGAAAACTGTCGTGTGGAATGTGGTGTCATGTAGTCTGGTAGAGAGTTGCCACCGTTTCAGAGGAACCTTTCAATCTCAAGAACAGAAGAGCCTTTCTTGTTGGTTCGTTCTCTATCCGCTATCCATACTGTTTCTCCTTCTGTGGCTCCTACTCTGAAGATGGAATCAACACGTTCCTGCGACACAATGGTAACTACCAGGTTACACAGTTTCACATTCCAGAAGAAAGTTGTTTTAGTATGGAGCAAAATTGGAATTGAACTGTAGCAACTAGAAAAAGTAACATCAATTATCGTGTTTCGGTGGGTATGTTAGTGTGCTCAATTGCATATCTGCCTTTGCCCAATTTGACGTTATGGTCTGTATTTAATGCGTCGATGGGGAAGAATTCCAGGTACACTGAATGGTTTAAATGATGAATAGAACCTTCAACCCAAAATCAGGACAAAGTAAATCATTGTTTCACTGGAATTACTTTCATTAGAATTCTAAAAATAAGCCATGGCAAGTGTTAGCCACCCCAGAGTATATATTCTGAAGAACCCTTGTTTGTTTTTGTATTCATGCACAAGCGCCAAAAGAAGTTGAAGCTTGTAATGAACTGATGGTTTTTAAAGAAAGCAGTCTTCTGGGATTTGGCACCGTGTATATGTGGTGTTAACCGACGTTTCGGAGGAACGTATCGCCCCCATCTTCAGGGTTGAAGAAGTATAAGTAAATCTGCAAGCGACAACACCGTGAGACACGGTCAAGCAGACCGAGTCTCACGGTGTTGTCGCTTGCAGATTTACTTATACTTCTTCAACCCTGAAGATGGGGGCGATACGTTCCTCCGAAACGTCGGTTAACACCACATATACACGGTGCCAAATCCCAGAAGACTGCTTTCTTCATAGTCACCGCCGTGAAAGCCTCAAATCTTACATGATGGTTTTTAATCACCTGTGGTAATACACTATAGACTGGTACGCCTTAGGTTTGTTGCACAGAACGGTTGTTTCTCTCAGTGCTGACTGTGGAAGCATTGCACAGCCTGTGCTTTCTTTAACCATTTTGGAACACCTCTTGTGCTTATCATTGCACAGCGTACTTATGTGGGCTGGTCATGCCAGACCATCTGACAGCATGATTCTGTTTTAGAACTGCTGGATGGATTTTCATGTAATTTGGTATGGATGTATCCCCTTTGAGACTACCCCCAAATTCATACTTTCTAATATTGTACAGTCAGTAATAGCAGCATGTTGGACACAAACTTTTGAGATTGGAGCAGCACTAGCCATGTTGGTTTGCATTCTGAAATTGTGTATGGTAACAAGTCTTCGAAGCATATGAAGCGTTTGTTATGGTTCCTTTTTTATTGTAAGGTAACAAAATGGTGGCTGTGTGAAGTCTCTATTTAGCTTTTGGTTTGATAGCTATAACTAAATGAACCATTGGAGTTAGGATGCAAAATTTTGCATGGAAATAGGTCATACATACATCTACAAATTCTGTATTACATTTTTGAAGTCAATAATTAAAAACACCACAGCAGAGCATATCTTTTATATTATATTCAGGAGCAGTATAAATTTTGTATTTGAATTTGTAGTTCTAATTAATATTTTTAATGTGTTAGTGATGTCTGTCTATTTGTAACGGCTAGGAGCAATCAGAATTCACAGGCGCAAAGAACTCATGTGGAAACTCTCCGTGTTCCGATTTTGACTACACCTTTCTGGTCTTGTTTTCATTTAAAAAAATGAAGCTTGTGCTTTGGTGCATGGTACAATTATACATTCTTTATATTACTGGCAGTAGAGTGGTTTAAGAACTGTGGATCGCGATTCTGCGGTGGTCCATATTTAAAAATTAGTTAAAATCCAGTACTAGGTCCGACCTCTGCACCTCTCTTGTCCCCAAACACACACATAAACAGATCTTTATTCTGATTGATGTATTCGCTGCAGCCATATTATATGATGAATCTAAATTTCTGTCCATTGAATTTCACTGCCTAATTTTTACAGTGCTTATTAATACTTGGTTCAAGAGGAGCAAGGGAACACGCATCCATATATCCAACCAATTTCCATACATCCTTATTGAATAATTTAATAAGCTTGCATGATTTACTTTATTTTCTAATCTGAGCCTCTTGGAATAAGGACATCAACTTGCCTACACATCAGATAACATTTATAGTACCATTTGGAATTGCATTTTTGCTAGATAATTTTTAAGATGGATTATTTGTAAGTTTTTATGAGTCTAATGTTCTTTAATCCCTTACCAGCATTGTACTAGAGTCTGCAACCTATACAGTGCTTTGCTTGAATCCAGAGATTTTGAATGCCATGTGGTTCTCAGATGAGTCTTACTTCCATTTGAACTAACATTAACAAACACCAAAGGAGCAGACTCTTGTCCTTTCTGAGGAAGATTATACCAGACCTAGAGCCTGTTGGCTATTTTCTGAGAGGTTATTTGGAAAGTATTTTAGAAAAATCCTCACAGTGCAGGAATTGAAAATTGTGATTCATTGAGAAGTTGGGTGCATTTTATAGCAACTCTTATCTGTGCAGTTTTGTTGTGTGTTTTCACAAAGTTCATGAGCTTTGGAGACATCACGTTGAAAATATTATGGTTTAAGCAAGCAGTTTGCAAAGTGTATAGAGCATCCTGTAAAAGTTTCATACTGTTATATTCATTGTCATCTTCATGGATGATTCATCAGTGGCCTGTTCTTCACCAATTAGAATTATTTACCCTTTGGTTATTCTGGGGGGATCAATAATAGAATCTTTCCCAATAGTATTTCCCCCCCAGTGCTGTAAAGGGAAATTCACATGTAGGGATTTCTATCATTTTACCTCTAGCATTTATTGGGAGATATTTCTGCTTAGAAATGTTCCTCCATTATGGCTGTAGACTGACCTTAAAATGGCAGCTTGGCTTCAACCTGTGTGGCAAAGGTTGTACCCTTCCACTAGCTACCCTTCTGCTGGCAAAGCCCTCTGCATCATTGTAGCGTACAATCTCTACCACAGAAATGTGATGTTATCTGATGGGGCTGTTATATTCACTAATAAAGTGTCAGATGTTTGAAGGCTCACCATGTATTTTCTACGTCAGAATGTTGGCAAGTTGATGAGCCTTGCCATTTTTTGGGGCATGTTCTAAAACTTGCATGACAGTGTAAGAAGTAAAATTACAGAATAGACACTGTGTCGATTTAATGCTAACTATGGAACTAAATCATTCAGTCACTACTTACTTTTGCATAGTATTGATAACAAAGAAATTAATGTTTCAGTTAAGCAACTGAGAACATCAAATAAGAGGTTATATGTTTCAGCATCACTGCATGCCATCCTCACACCCTTACTTTGTAAGTGTATAAGGGAAGTATACATCTTAATGTTGATGTTAGTTTTATTTATGGATGGCACATCAGCACGTTTTATGGTGTATAGACATGCAAAAATGATTTATGCTGTGGCATATCTAATAAAAATAATTTGGAGTGTTAACATTTCAGAAGGCTGTTGTAAACATGTGGTGGTGATTATGGCTGGAACCATGTGTCTCATATGTATGCTGTAGCATTTTTGCATTGGTATACACCACCAAATATGCAGATGGGCTGTCCATAAAGTGACCAATATCTGTTAATGTCAAGATGTGAACTTCCTGTATGCATTCGCAAAGAAAGGGTCTGACAATGGCATAAATTGATACCAAAACATGTTACCTTTTTTTTTCGGTGTGTGTAAGTCTTTTTTGAACAAAACATTCTTTTCTTTGTTGGATGGCTCTTCTGCACTTGTATGTTTATGTTAAGAACATACGAAAAGCTCATTTTTCAAAATGAGCCTTTGCAGCTAGTTCTGTAATGAAGGAAAGAATACTTTGGAATGTTGGATGTGGTCATAATGATTAACCAGAAGAAATAGCTTCCATTGCCGGAAGTGCATATGTTATTATCATATAGAATTGAAGAAAATTTAACATATTTTTGAACAAGAAATCAAATGGTACAATGAATACATGAGCTACATGTTTTGTAAATATTGTGTGTGAAAGAAAGTAAGTTAATATATTTCAGATATTTAATTATGTTCTTGGCCAACTGTTACAGCTTCACAGGATAGAATATGTACACAGTCGACATCTAATATACAGGGACGTAAAACCTGAAAATTTCTTACTAGGACGCAGTACCACAAAGAAGGATAAGATCATTCATATTATAGGTAGGTATGGTATGTTAGTTTGTTGCACTGATTTTTTTAGGTCAGCTCATTATTTCATGTGTTGTTTGGGATTAGCTTTCATGTTCCTTTGTTATGGTAATTATAGCTTCTCTTCTTCATTCAGTGTTTACACTTTCATTTGATCATCAAGTTGTTTTTAATTAGAAGTGATTGATGATAAAAATTTACTATATAAATGGCTGAGATGTGCATTTGTAAATGGTAAGGTTTTGCAGAATTTATGTACAAACTTTTTTAAGTAAAATCACTTGCAGCATACTGAAGCTTTTAGTATTGCATGTTCCTTGTGATCTCTATCAGAAGAAAGTACTAAAGAACATTATTCACAAAATTCCAAAACGAATCCACATTATACCAAATTCCCTGCTACGTATATAACCTTGTTATACCATGACCTCGATGCAGTAAATTTCTTTGAGGTGAGGTTGTAAGCTCTATCCTTGCATTGATAGTGTCATCAGATTTAGATGTGTTTTTATATGCAACAAGTCCTGTTGTTATGAAATTTGGTACGCACGTAGTTAAGGGTTTTATGCATTTGGTGATTTTTTACAGTTTCTTTTCTTTTTAAACATAATTTTTTAAATGTGGTCTTTTAGAAGAATGTTACTGAAACATGTTTAAAAAATCACTGTGCAGTGAAAAGGCAGCAGATACAAAGAACTGGAAAATTTCATAATTGTGGAGTTTGTCATTGGTATAAAAGTGTATCTGACTATGATAAAATTAACGATCTGATGATAGGGCCGACAACCTCCACATATTTTTTAATGTGCATTGTGCTCCCATGTTATAGACATTTTTGTTGTGGAATTTTGCCTCTACAGAAATTATAAAGCGTGACCACAAATTCACAGTAAAAAAAGTAAAGCTATCCCTGTAACAGGCTGTGGAGGCCCATAGGGTTGTGAAACTTTGAGGGTCCCACATTATCTAGACAATTGGCTCAAAGATGGCAGTAAGGTTGTCAGCCTTACGTGCCGGCCGCACTTTACTCCCCAGGAAAATTATTTAATTAATTCCTGGTACTCATTTCTGTTAGAGGCTGAGTCAAACCCAGGGCCATAGTGCTGCTGGAAGGATCAGGTCAATTGAAAAAAAATCCAGTGACCTCATCGAGACTTGAACCCGCGACCTTCTGGCTTGTAGTATAGCCCCTCAACCAACTACACTACCGCATGCCCCCAAAATTCACAGTATGAACCAAAAATTTGACTTAGGGAAATCAGGGATACATACAATTTTTAAATGCAAAATATGTAATGGGAACAAATTAGCCAAAGTGATTTTTAAGAAGTGATTATTTGTTAAAAATTAGGAACCTATATGTGCCTGTGTCAGAGGCATAGCAGGACATGCAACTGGCCATTGGCAACCTGTGACAGGAGAATGGCTGGTAGTGTAGTTGCGGTTCCCATCTTATTTTAGGCTGTGCAGTATATTTCCCCTTTTCAGGTTTACATTTATTTTTGTGTACCTGCTGTTACTTCTGATGGGTAAAGAAGTGTGGTTTATCACAAATGTGGATGTATCTCTACTTCTAACATGGGAGTCGGTTGAAAAATGGGGATCACATTGTGAAATTTCATGATATGGACACATTTTCATGAATATATCACACCCATAACATGGGTGAATGTAGAGTTTCCAGTATCAGCCTGTTATAAACACGGTGATGAACTTTACATTCTACAGATGCAGGAAATTTCTTGACCAGTTGAATAACTATTGGCTGCCCAAAGAAGATCCTGTATGGTAGAGTTGGATACTTGAAATATACTTTTTGGTAATATTTTAAACAAACGCAGTTCACAGTTTTTAAAGTTGACAGTGTTTTAAGTTGATTACTGACATTGATGCTGTGCCCTTTTTTTTTTTGCAGACTTTGGCTTAGCAAAAGAATATATAGATTTAGACACAAACAAGCACATCCCCTATCGGGAACACAAAAGTCTCACAGGGACGGCAAGGTACATGAGCATAAACACTCATTTAGGAAAAGGTAAGTATTTTTGAAAACTGTTTCTCACTCTAATGAGAATAGGTTTCTTCCATTGCATGGAATGGGTTTTTTAAATTTCTTTGCATTATTTCCTAGTATTAAAACAGATTCTCTTCTTCAGGGTTGAAATGTGTCCTTGAATATAGAAGCAACATGTTCCTGTGAAACATTAATACTCACCTATGATATCATCACAGTATCATAACCCAGCAGATCACAGTCTTGGTTTAAACATTTTGGAATGTTACATAAGCCTTAAGCGCCCTTTCTTTTTTAGTGTTTTTCATGCATAGTGTGACTAAGCCTGTATGAATCCATTACATTAGTGTTAGATTAGAACTGACTAATGTATATAATTCCAGTTATGGAAGTAATTTTGACCATATGTTATGTGGAGGGTGGACAAGAACTTCCCTACAAATTGAGCATAATTTTGATGTTTATTGACTTGGAATTGTACCAAAAATAGTACGTTACATAATTATTCTTACTGGGAAAATGTGTCTCCCTTCTTTTGGAAAGTTTGCATAAAAATAAAATTCATCTAATTTTTTTAAATGATTTACATTCAATTAGGTTTCCATCAAACAAAAATTATTGTATCCAAATTGATGAATCAGTGTACAGAATATTTCATCTCTTAATTCTTGTATGGTATACTTGATCAAGTAGGGCATTTGGAAAGATGTATTTTTATGAGTTCCATCTGAAACTTATGTTGTGAAGATGTTTATCATTAGAATAGCATTGTGCTAGTAGTTATGAAATATTTCCTTCTCATTTCATTCACATTTGCCCTGCAACTTAGAATTTTAATTTATGAGGCTGTTCACAGTGAAGTTTCAATATTGTTACAGAGCAAAGTCGAAGGGATGACCTGGAGGCTCTGGGACATATGTTTATGTACTTCCTGAGAGGCAGTTTGCCATGGCAAGGTCTCAAAGCAGACACACTGAAGGAGCGATACCAGAAGATTGGCGATACAAAGAGGGCCACTCCTATTGAGGTGCTGTGCGAAGGACATCCAGGTATGTCAGAATAACTTTCAATCTTGATAAACTGAAATCTGCTATATCAGCCCTGTCAAGCAAATTGGTGTAGCAGTAATTTATACTCAGGAGGTGCATATGTTAAGTCTTGACTGGGATTTTCTCAACCTGTTTGAGTAACTCCCTACACAGTATCTCTACATCTCCCACAATTGCTTCCTTCCAAGTCCTTATCTGCTTATCATTCAGAATCATCTTACCTTTTTTGACACTAATCACCTTTGTATTCAGAACTGTGTAGGTGAATAGCCTAAGGTGTAATAAATCACACTAGTTCGTGGGCAGTAATATTATTAACTTTTATCTGAACTGTACTCAGTTCACATATAATGTACTACTGTATGAATTGTGATTAAAATCCCTGTTTCACGTTGAATTTTTGACTTACTGAAACCAGTGCTATTTAATGGAAAATGAAGGTGGAAATGTGCTGAGAGTAGTAATGTTGGCCATTCTCTCATCTCGTGTCTTCAGTGTGAGTCACATTGTAAAGCTTAAGGGTAAAAACAGTTTTCCTGATATTTTTTGATGCATTCCATAGGAAAGGCCTTCTCAGAATTTGTTGGCATTAAATTACATAAGTCTGGTAAAATATGATTCTTCAGGTCCAGGATTGAGACTGATCTTGTGGATATGGTAAAGAACCTGCAGATCCCATAAATGGTCAGATGCCTCTTGATTGGCTTAGTGACTGTTGCTTCTCAAAAAGGACTTTGGCCATGGAGTTAGTGAGCCTTGTAAAGTATGACCCTGTAATTTAAGTGTGTTAAGACTTAGAGATATTGGGTTTTCGGACTTTATCCATCATCCTGGTTTTTAAGATAACTAAGAAAAACACGTTTTGGAAACTGGATCTGTTTCCATCCTCAGATGAGGGAAAAACACCTATTCTGTTGGGTCCCCTAGAAAGAGCTAGCCTCAATCACTAAGGGACCCAACAGAATATGTGTTTTTCCCTCATCTGAGGATGGAAACAGATCCAGTTTCCAAAACGTGTTTTTCTTAGTTATCTTAAAAACCAGGATGATGGATAAAGTCCGAAAACCCAATATCTCTGTGTGTTATACACCATCGTCAGAATCCTATAGTAACTACTTGTTAAGACTTGTATTTCATGTCTAGTGAAATTTACAAAACATTGCAGAGGAGATGGCTACGTACCTGCGTTATGTAAGAAGACTGGATTTCTTTGAGACTCCCGACTATGAGTACCTCAGAAAATTGTTCCAAGATCTCTTTGAAAGAAGAGGCTATGTAGAAGATGGAGAGTTCGACTGGACAGGAAAGACAATGGTGAGTGACAGTATTTCAGCATATTAAATGCTATAGATTGGTTGGTTGAAGAGTAATGTAGAAGGAGAACTTTATGAAGATGGTAGCATACAAATAACGTGGTGGATCAGCATTTGAATATCTGCCACAGTTTTGAAGAAAATTTACCTGGAATATTTTGTGTTCTTAAAGAATGCTAGGTGTAGCATTTATGTGTCTCCCCAATTTTACGCTCTCAGGCCATTCCCTCCTCCCACTGAACCAACCCGATAACCATTTATTCACCCCCCCCCAATTAAATGTTCCTAACTTTAGTGTCACATGCTATCATTCAGGATCATGGGCATGGACCACATACTGTCATGGGAACGTCTGTCAACTTGGTTATTGCCTTCCTGTGGAAATTTATGGTCATAGGTTATGTTCTCATAAACTGTAGGTCTTGAATTCATAACCACTGTTGCATGAGTTACAATTTATGTGTTTTTTCTGTTTGTTCATTTAGCATTATGTGTATGGAAAATCAGTAGGTGCAGATTCTTCTCCATAGTATACATGCCAGAATCTTGGTACAGATAACTTGTAACACATTTAGCAAGGAGAGAGTTAGAAAGAAGAGTGTCTGAACATTTCTTAAGCATGCACTGTCACGTTTCTATAGTAATGCATGTTTATAATTGGTGTATATCGTGTCAGCACATTGTCAAGTGTCCTCCCCCCCCATGATATTTTCAATACAGTTTTCTGCATGTCCATTATTAAATTTTTGTACCTATTATTTGCTTAATGAGGGTACTCTCTTTATATCGAAACAGATTTGTTTAGCAAGTGTCTTTCATTTCTCCTGTTACGTGTAGCAGAAAATATGAAGAGACTTATAATTTCCAGGAAGGCACGCAACCAGAACCACATGACCTACAGCTCTACTTGCATTGCATCCTTTGAAACCCTATTTTTTCTAACTGTGATTAAGTGTTAACACAGGATGAGCACTTTTGGAACAGGTATAAACTTATGACATGTTCTTACACACTGCCTGCTTCCAGTTGCATTTTTGGTTCTACCTATATGTAATCATTTTTTATTCATTACATGCATGACTTTATTTTATGAAGTTCTGCTACTGCTGCTTTTGCTGTATTAGAATGTTTATAACAGTAATATATTGATACATTTCTAAATATATTGTCATGTGAAGACTAATATCTGAGTTTTCATGGGGCTGATCTGGTTATTTTTGTGATGTTTCTTATTTAAGTTGGTTTGAAAATCTTGCACATTCTTTTTGCATGCTGCTTACGTTACTAGCCACCAAATTTTCATGATCTACGCCTAATCAGGAATGCTCCACCCTCTCATATTGGAAAAACAAAGTCACAAAAGGTGTGTACCAGTTGCTTATAACAGAGTGTGATGTTTTTGTTTATCGCTATTATTTTTTTTTTGTGATTTCTTGAGGCTTGTGTTACACATTCCATCTCTAACCATGAGAGCACATCAAAGATGAGATACTGAGAGTAGAGGAAATTTGATAATGTGGCTTCTTTGACAGAAAGTGTATTTAATAACTGGAGATGAGTACATTCATGAAATACTTAAATGAGCTGTTCACATTTACATATATGTTACAGAAGGACACGCCATCCTAGTCATAGACTTTATTAGAGGAATAGGAGTATGGTATAAAACACACTGTGGCCTTTGTAATTTTGTTAGTTATCTTTTCTAATTATTGTGATTATAACTTTGATAAAACTAATTTATAATATGATTAATTAAGAATAAAGTTCAAATATGTACAGTGACCATTATTAATTAATTAATTAAGCATCATGACATAAAGATGTATGGCTAGTGGAGGTATAGCTACACACATTCTCAACTTCGGCACTAGATGAAGGTGAGTGGCCAGCTTCATGCCATGGCTGCTTTACCCCCAAGAAAGATCTGCCAGTACCCAGCAGACAGGAGTCTGGGTGGGAGGCAGAGCTAGTCTGGATCTTGTGGCAAAGAGAAGAGTTCGTACCCTTGCTGGAGATTGTACCCCTGTCTGCCCTGCACAAATCCTGGATGCCAGGTCACTATAATACCTAAAGCTCCCATGATATCACTTTCAAATTTGTTTCTGTTATGTTACCATGACCTGTCAGAGATGACAGGCAAAATAATTTCTTTAGTCCATTCATATCTTTATCTCCATTCCCTTTTTCCCCCCTTTATTGCAGTCACATCCTTTTTATTTCACTGTTTATTACCATTCATCTTCCCTTCCTTCTTCCCTTTCCTTTGTAGTATAACAACTTCTAACCTCTGTTCTTTATTACGTCTATCATTTTTCATCTTCATTCATTTGTTCCATCCCTTTATGGTCTTCCTTCATTTCTTCCCAGTTCATTTCCCACTCATCTTATTTTTCCATTGAGATTCCTCTGCCTGTATCCTAGCAACGTGCTTTGGATTCATCTCAAGCGTGAAAGTAGCTAAATATTATTTATATGTACATTTCACTATTTTTGTGTTGGATTATAGATTAACAGGACATTTGTGCAGGCCTGACCCAATTATCTGGTCAGACTGATAGAGCTATCCCAGCTTTGGATACAGAGCTTCTTTGAATCATACCTTTGCCATTGTGTAGAATTGTTAGATAAAGTTTGTTTACTGTAATTTTTTATATGTTGTAATAAAAGTTATGTAACCCATATATATAAATTATGATTAAAATTACCACCACCTTCACCTGTCGAAGATTAAAGGACTGGTACTTAATTTTAGTTGTGTTTATCTTTCAGTCAACCCCCGTGGGATCTCTGCAAACAGGCCATGAGATTGTGGTATCACCCAACAGGGACCGACACCCAACTGCCAATAAGGTATATAAGGCAGTCAAGTGCCATTTGGTTTATATCTGTCCATAAGTTTGGTTTATTTTCATTGATTGTATTTACAGTCTCTTCCAAGTAAGAGAAGCATGGTAATAATACTGCATGCACTTACCATTATTCGGAATTAGCTGTTGGTCATGTTTCAGCTGTGTTTGCAGACATTTGATGTCTCTGCTTTGTTGTACTTTTGATATTCTATTCACACAATATAACATTGTCAGTACAATGTGATTTTGTCGTCAGAAAATTTCAGCATATATAACATTTGATTTAGATGAATTAAAAAAAATTGTAAACAGTTCTTATTTTCAGGCTAGTGTTCAACATTATCATAAACATCAGATGTGTAGTTATGTCCTTTTTCATGTTTAAAATTTCAGGAAATCAAAATAAAAGTAATGGACTCCAAAGCTATTGTTACCATATACACTCCATAATATGAATTCAGTTCTGAACTGGAATTGCATCTACACTGTAGCTACAGTCCATGACATTGTTTGAACCTGTTTTCTCTGTGTGTTAGTAAAACTGTCTCATGTAAGTTTTCCTTTTATGAAAGTACCCTGTAGAAAATAGCTATCCCTGTAATAGGCCGTGAAGGCCCATAGGGTTGTGAGACATTGAGGCTCCTACATTTTCTCTAAATATTCGGCCCACAGATGACGGTAAGGTTGTTAGTCTTACATGTCAGCCACCCTTTACCCCCCAGGAAGATTCCTGATGCACATTTTTTTAGAGGCTGAGTCGACTCAAGGGCCATAGTGCGGCTGGAAGGATTAGATAAATTGAAAACAATACCTCCTCAGGATTCGGAACACATGACCTTCCAGCTTTTAGCTTAGTGCCTCAACCAACTATACTACAGCTTGCCCCTCAAAAAAGTGCCCTGTAGGAATTCATATAATGTTGCCTACTTATGCATTTAGTTCTACGGTTTTCCTACGAGTTTTAATCATGCACATCAGTATATTGAATTTCCATAACAAATCCTCTGGTCATTTGTTACATGATATAATAAAATTCGTTATAAATTTTTAGTTCCAAACACACATACATCAATAGCTACCCAGTAAGATTTCTCTGTTCTGAGATATAACACTGTGTAGTCTGAAAATCATCCAGCATGTCTTGCTTTGCTTACTGTTCGACACTGAAAATGGAGGTGATGTGTTCCTCTGTAAAATTATTTGGCTGCATGGCATTATATTCCAGACAATAGAGCTCTTTGTAGTCACCACTATGAGAACCTCAAATCCAGCTTCCAGTTATGACACCAGTTTTTGCAGTGTCTTATGGGAGGTATCTTGAATTCTGTTATTCTGCACTCTCCTGTTAAACTTGCTTTTGTTGTTCTTGATAGGCAGTTTGTGTTCATTACAGCAGTAAATGAAGCAGGTTTAACATCACCTGCACTTATAGTTTACAGATGTGGTTAAATTCCTTTTTGGAAGAAAATGTCATGCTTCTAAGATAGGCATACATTTCAACTGTTCTATGATTCATGTATATGGCACATGGACTGCCTGTGTGGTCTAGTAGTCAGAGTTCCTGGCTACAGATCCACAGGTCCTGGGTTCGATTCCAGGTGCTACCAGCTTTTCTGAGGAGTAATGGGTCTGGAACAGAGTCTACTCAGCCTCGTGAGGATAATTGAGGAGCTATTTCAAAGAAATAGTGGCTCTGGTCTAGAAAACCGAGATTAACGGCCATGGGGATCTTTTGCGCTGACTGTGTGGCATCCTGTATCCACTAAAGTTGGCACTAACCTCACCAACAAGTGGCGGTCTCTTTGTCGTTATAGTTTGCTTGCAGACTACAAGCCATGGAGTTTTGGCACATAGATGGTCCCATGTGCAGTATTTTTGCCATCAGATATGTGGTTTGAAAACTTTCCTGTTTGGAAGCTGCACTTTGATATAATGAATTTGCACACGTTTATTTTTCCACTCTACCGTGTCCCTCTTTAAACGTTTATATGTGGTTTTTGTGTTTTGTTCTAAATACAAGAAGTTCTAGCTTGATTTACAAAGATATCTTTCGCATATGCATTTCATGAGCTTTTCAGCAGAAACTCGCCCAAATATATTACCATTTGTAAGGATGGATGTAATTACCTATATTGAAACTCGTTGACAGAGAGAATCATAATTTATAGTCTGTTGTTTATGTAATGTATCTTACAGTATAAGCATGATTTGAAATTTGTTTCTGATTAAACTTATGTTTATATTACAACAGTTACATGTGATGCTTCTAAATTTTAGGGTCTTCCTTTCAGTCTGCCAACCCATATCTCTCAATTGTACAGGTAATCGTATAGCTCTCTTACATAATATGCAGACAAACGTTTATAATGAGAAGATGATTATTCTGTTTATTACAGCCATCTTTAATTCTCCTGTTTAGACTGTAGAAATGAAGTTCATGACAATAAGTGTTTTGTTAGTGGCAGGTATTTTTTTAACTTCCTGTGTATTCAGGCAATCATTGCTCATATTATCCCATTAAACTGTGAATGTTGGGTTGAAATTAGGAGTATAGCTATTGTGCAGGTGCAATTACAGCATGAGATAGTTCTGTTCATATTGCTGGCAGGTAACCCAGATGCCAAATATACACACACATGAATATCTCCAGTAATGAAGTTAAAGTTTTCTTTATTTTACTTATTTCATAGTTCTTTGCCGTAAGTTAATGTTTTAATGAAGTCACTTTGGTGGTGTTGTGTCTAATACACTCTCATTATTTTACTGCTACAATGGGGAAAGGATGAGAATGAGTTTGAGGAGGATGACACTGTATTGATCTTGGAGGTCAGATATTTATAGTTTGAGTCTTTTGGCAAAGCCCTGTAGAACTGGAATGACCAGAATGTTACTGCATTTGGGTAGTATAGGACCTGACACAGTTGAAGGCATGAGATGAAAATACTATGCATAATATATTTAAGTGGTAGTGAAAGTGTTGAAGTTATTAACTGCTTGAACAACTAAATGCCTTTTATGTGTTCGTGAACCTTTTGCTTTTGTTAAGGATTATTGTTCATGAGTAAGGACTAATATTTCTAGAAGTGCAAATCATTGAAATGTTTTTACAGATGCTGTTATTGTGCCTGTCTGTAAAAAGACTGATAAAACTGACTGTAGTAATTAATCTTGGAATATCATTTTTATCAGTATCAAGCATTAATTTATTCAGATAGTCATGTTTCATTGTTAGCTCTCTATATGGACAAAATTATCAAGGTTTATCTGTGTGGAGTTTGACATAACTGATCAACACCTGCATTCATAAAACATCAGAGAAGGAATGGTACGCTGAGACAGTGCATCAGATATTTATGCACCCCAAGAAAGCCTATGACTCAGGGAGTTTAAAACAGCATCTCATTGAATTTGCTATCTCTACGAAACTAGTGAGTCTAAGTAGCATTTGCATTTCCTATTGGAATGGTCTGATACAAGGAGATGCTTTTATTGTTGCTTATGAGTATGTCATTAGACAGGTCTAAGATGATCAGTAAGGATTGGAATTTAATACATTGCTTGATTAGGGTTCATTTAGCTTATATACTGTCGCGTATTGGGCGTATATCGCGACAAATAACTTCACGATGTATTTGATGTAGCGAATTTTATTTCACATCCGCTCTCACAATCACCCAAATTACAATCTGACGATTACTGCTATCTGCAGTATCACAATTAGTACACTCCAAATGCCACAATACAACTGGCTGGTTGCTGGCTAACTCGGAACTAACTCGGAGGTAGCTCGAGGACTCACTGACTGACTCAGTACAACTCTGCGGTAGCCACCCTAGAACTGACTCGTACCAGCTGTGCAGCTCACTTATATAGCTGCAGTGCTTGCCAGTTGCGTAATGAGTGCCACGTCATCCTGTTACGCCACCGCTGTTGACTCGCCTTGCATAGTTACCAGGTTGCGGGGGCTCGGCTATCTTCAGCTCCGCTCGGCTCTCTTCGGCTCCGCTCGTGACGTCACCGCGCATAGCTGCCAGGATGCGGGGTGATTACTCGCCTATTACGCGAGCGT